AGACCGCCAGCCTTGGCCTCGCCGTTCCTCCTCCCCCTGCCCTCCTCCTTCTTCCCCCCCCTCTCCCCCTGCCGCCCTTCCTCCTCCCGCTGGCCATCCTCCTCCGTCCCCCCTCCTCCTTCCCCCCTCCTCCTCCTCCTCCTCTTCCTCCTCCTCCTCCTCCTCGTCGTCCTCCTCCTCCTCCTCCTCCTCCTCCTCCTCCTCCTCGCTCTCGCAGCCTGGCTCTGCCCACGACTCGCGGTCCCCCGCCGGGTCGGTCGCTCCGCGCCACGGCGGCGAGAGGCGCGCCAGAGAACGCCGATCCTCCCGCCGGCGAACCTCCTCCTCCTCATCCTCATTTTCCTCCTCCTCCTCCTCCTCCTCCTCCTTCTCCTTCTTCTCGTCCTCCTCCTCCTTCTCTTTCTTCTCGTCCTCCCCGTGTTGCTCTGACTGCCCTGCCTCCCCATCATCATTCTGAGTCCCATCGCCAACATCGTCATCACAATCCTCATCATCACCGGCAGCAGCAGCAACATCAGCATACTTAGCGTTATCATCAGAAGCAGTATCCGCATCGGCATCCATATCATCAGCATCATCATCATCAGCAGCAGCATCATCAGTATCATCATCATCATCATCATCATCATCATCATCACCATCATCATCATCAGCATTTTCACCATCATCAGTATCATCATCAGCAGCATCATCATCAGCATCATCGTCACGACCGTCATCATCATCATCATCAGCAGCAGCAGCATCATCATCATAATCAGCAGCATCCCCCCACTCCTCATCCTTGACTTGTTCCTTGTCTCACCCCCTCCTTTGCATATACCTCCACCTCCGCCTTCTGCTCATCTTCCTCTGCATCATCATCATCATCATCATCAGCATCATCATCATCATTATCATCATCATCAGCAGCAGCAGCAGCAGCGGTATCATCACCAGCATCTCCATCACCATCATCATCATTATCACCATCATCAGCATCATCATCGTCAGCAGCATCATCATCTTCCCCCCTCGTCCTCCTTGTCCTGTTTCTCATCCTCCTCGTCTTCGACTCTCCACATCCTCATCGCCCTCCTCCCACCAGAAGCTCGCAGATGGCATAATCGAGAACATGATGCAGCAGTGTTCATACACTGAAGTACTGATGGATACCGTGAGGCGTGGAAGAGAAAAGAGGGTGACGAGGGCAAGCAATTGAGCTGGTACCATCTGCGCGCCAATAGGTATAATAGATTTCGTTGTCGTCATCATGTGTCCTTCATCCCCCTCCCCTCGTCGGCATCTTCGGCCTCCTCCTCATCGGAGGAGGAGGCGGAGGAGGACGACGACGACGGCGACGGCGGCGATGAGGAGGATGAGGAGGAGAAACGGAAACCGACATCGAAGAAGAGATGCGGCCTCCTCCTGGCCAACCGCCCCGCGCGCGTGCTCGAGCAACGTCAAAACACATTCCCGCTCTCACCCCTTTCCTTATCATGCTGCTCAGTCTGATTATCATGCTGCTCCTCCTCCTCCTGCTGCTCCTCCTCTTCCTCCTCATCTTCCTCTTTCCCCTCCTCCTCCTCCTCCTGCTCCTCTCCCTCACCTCCTCTTCTCCCGCTCCTCCTCTCTCGCTCCTCCTCCTCCTCCTCCTGCGCCTCCTCCTCCTCCTCTTTTTTTCTCCTTCTCCTGCCCATGCTCACCACGAATCTGGGTGTTCCCTTACAGTGCCACACTATCTGAACCTTGTTTTGACGTTGTCCACTTTCTGGTCAGAAGCCGCGGCGTCTGTGAGAGCAAGTAACAAGCCGACTTAGGTTAGGTGACGTGACACCGAGCCTCAACAAGACAAGCCTACAATTGTAAGCTAATGTGGGAAAACAAGTGGCAAAGAGAGGTGGAACAAGAAGCTTGGCCCACAAGGGCACAGAGAAAGTCAGCTGGCAATCAGTCCGTGGAGAAGGGAGGAGCAAGCCAAGCACGACCATAGCCTGATCAGGGCGGGAAGCCGAGCGAGAGCGAGTGTTGGCTACTGGCACGGCGGCTGGGGTGTGTTGGGGGGAGGGGGGCGGCGAGGGCAGGTGTCGGAGGAATCGAGGGCAGCAGAGGGCCACGCACCAAGGAGCGGACGGGTAGGGGGCCGAGTGGACAGCTGAAGTTTGGCGGATGTGGCATTCGGTATGTGTGTGGTGTGCGTGGAGCCCCCGCTCCAGCCAGACCTCCGCCTGCTGCGAGCACGGAGGCAGCCGCCACCCTTGCCGCGGGGTGGGCGCCCGTTCGTCTGTGTTGGGCTGCTCGGCGAGTTCGCGGCCCGCATTAGCCTCGCCGTGGTGGCGTCGGTCCTCATCATCTTCCTCGTCATCATCAGCAGCATCATCATCAAAACATCATCATCCTCATCAGGTCATCATAATCAATCATCATCATCATCATCATCGTCATCATCATCATCATCATCATCATCATCATCAGCCTCATCATCATCATCAGCATCATCATCATTATCAGCATCAGCATCATCATCATCAGCATCATCATTCATATTGTCATCATCATCGTCATCATCATCTTCATCGTCATCGTCATCGTCGTCATCATCATATGTTCAGGGTGATGGCCTTGGTCCGAACACGTGTGTGAAAGAGGAGCTCACTGGGAGGCCGCTCGCCTTCGACGCATTCTCTGGCTTCAGATCTCAAGCGGGGAATTCGCACGAGTCGCAATCTTCATGATAGCTGGTGTTTAAGATTCGCCACTTGTCGAGTGCTGCGCTGCATCCTGGACGCAGGCCGCAGAGTGACCCCGCAGTTCCCCGAGCGACCAACAGAGGCGCGCTCGTGGTTCAAGGCTGTGGTTCGAGTCATGGTATCGGACATTGGTGGAAATACCAACCAGCTTTCGGATCACAGGTGAATGCCGGAATGAGAAAGCACGCGAGCAGTGGACACACGCGCCACAGCACATTCGACCGAAACAGCGGGACGATATATAGGGGCCTTGTGTCCACTCACTCTGGAGAACCAACTCAGTCGCGCATGCCAGTCGATTTGACAGGGTGTGGGTCGGAGGTTTTGTTTGGCCTACACTACGAATCGAAGCATCTCGATTTGGCGGCGAGTCACGGGCGACGAGGTGTCTGCTTATTCCCGAGTCGGCCTTTTCGGACGGTCTGTGCCCCGCGCGCGGGGAGTGGCCTTTGATGGACTACATGGACTCCTCCTCCTCCTCCTCCTCCTCCTCCTCCTCCTCCTCCTCCTCCCCTTCCTCTTCCACGAACCGAAGAACAGAAGAAAGCACCATGTTTCGTGACATGGAAAAGGCATGTGTGCGCTGGCTGGAGCAGAGCATTGGAAACCATGGGCCACGCAGCCAGATGGGTGACTCCCTCCGCGGAGCATCGCCGCGATCATGTTTGTATGTTGGTTTTTCAGAAAACCATCTGATTTCAAAAGTTCGGTGCGGCAGATGAGGTCGCGGAGATGTGTCGAAGTAGCGTTCGACCCACGAAACGTACTGTTTCCTAGCGTTGGCAACGAAGGCGGGCTGACCACGAAATGTCCCCTGCAACGGCTTTCCTCTCAGAGGCCTCCTGAGGGGGCCGGACGGTGCCACACCAGGGCGTCATGACATCCATCATCAAGACGAAAGTCCTGCGATGATACGCGACCCAGTACACATGCAGAGGGCCAACCTTCCATGGACCAGTGCTGGATTAGGACGCCATGGCGCACATCCTTGGCGCACCAGGCGCACCAGAGGGTCATGACATCGGTGGGCCACACCAGCGCGTCAGGACAACCATCATCATGAGGATGTTCCTGCGGCAACACATTCGGGGCACACGGGGACGGCCAGTGTCCCATGTGTACCCATCGCTCTGCCACACCAGCGCGTCATTGCATTCATAATCATGATGATGTCCTTGCTACGACCACACACGCATAACGTGCAATCGTCGGGTCTGGGGCACATAAGTCGCCAGCGTGCGTTGATACCTCTTGCTTTGGGCAGAGACCAACGGGGTCGCGCGCTTGATGGGGGAAGACGGCGCTTGTAGTTCAGGCGAAGAGCTGGTCGAAGCACGAAACGCAATGTTTTCTCGCTGCGGCACCGAAAAGTAGATGTCCACGAAATCGCCTTCATAATGATTTGCAGTCAAACTGGCTCTTGAGGGAGCCAAGCGGTCTTACACAATTCTTGGGATCGGTGCTCAATGAAGACTCCATGGTGTATACTTTCGGCAGCCCAGTGTGTCATGAGAGCGGTGTGCCATACAAGCGCAGCATGGCGTCCATAATCATGACGATGAATACACATGCGGAAGGCCAGCCTGTCATGACACCGGCGTGTCACACCCGCGTGTCATGACATTCCTCATTGTGATGATGGGGGCAATGATGACAGTCCTGCGACGAAATATGATTGGATTCGCGTGCGGAGCGCCAGCGTTCCATGTGCAGTATCGCTCTGCCACACCAGCGCGGCAGGACGTTCATGCTCAAGACGACGTTTTGATTCGACGACACACGCGAAACATGCAATGGTAACGTTTGGAACGTATGAGTCGGCAGCGTCCGTTGATACCTCTTGCCTTGGGCAGAGGCCAAGCCGGTCGCGCACGCGTGTACCCGGAGCCCTCCTCCTCTTCCTCCTCTTCTTTCTCCTCCTCCACCTCCTTTTTCTTCTCCCCTCTTTCCTCCTCCTCCCCTTTCTCCTCCTCCTCATCCCTCTCCTCCTCCTCCTCCTCCTCCTCCTCCTCCTCCTCCACCTCCGTTTTCTCCTCCTCCGTTTTCTCATCCGCCACCGCCTCCTCCTCCTCCTCCTCCTCCTCCTCCTCCTCCTCCTCCCTCTTCTTCTCCTCCTCATTCTCCTCCTCTTCCTCCGCCTCCGCTTCAGCCTCCGCTTCCTCCTCCTCCTCCTCCTCCTCCTCCTCCTCCTCCTCCTCCTCCTCCTCCTCCTCCCTCTCGTGACCGTGGGCGAAGAGGACGGCGCGGAGCGGCCTGCGGGGGATGGGCGCAGGCAAAGCGAAAGCGAGGACGGCAGCTTCCAGCTTGCCCAGCCAGGCGCGCGCGCCCCCGCCCCTCCCCACCGAGGGGGGCCTTCGGAGGCCTCGCCCGGCCCTCCTGCTCACGATCCAGTTTCTTCCTCCTCCTTCCTCCTCCTCCTGCTCCTCCTCCTCCTCCTCCTTCCTCCTCATCCTCCTTCCTCCTTCTCCTCCTCTTGCTCCTTCCTCCTCCTCCTCCTCCTCCTCCTCCTCCTCCTCCTCCTCCTCCTCTGCTCCTCCTCCATCTCCTCCTTCTTCTCCTCCTCCTCCTCTTGCTCCTCCTCCTTTTCCTCCTCCTCCTCCTCCTCCTCCTCCTCCTCTTGCTCCTCCTCCTCTTGCTCCTCCTCCTCCTCCTCCTCCTCCTCCTTCTCCTCCTCATCCCACCTTTACCTGCCGATGGATGCTTCGATTGTTCCGCCAATCCTCTTCCTGCTCGTGTTCCGTCGTCCTCCTGCCCCGCCTGTTCCTCCTCCTCCTCCTCCTCCTCCTCCTCCTCCTCCTCCCTTCCTCCTCCTCCTCCTCCTCCTCCTCCTCCTCCTCCTCCTCCTCCTCCTCCTCCTCCTGAAGGATAGTTGGACAAGGCATGGGTGGTTTTAAGAAGGTGTGAGCGGATCTGACATGTTCTGATTGAGCGTCGGGCCAAACCCCTTTGCCGTTGTAGAGGGCAGCAACTCGTCATCCTTGGGCATTAAAAGTTTCCGATCAGCCATGCTGGTTGTGGCAGGTAAGGGTACAGTAACTCCAGCCATTTCTATGGAAGTTAGTTGTCTTTGCTGCATCAACGGATGACACATCAGGGCCTGATGCTTTGCCTGGCTGGAGCTTCCCGATCATAGAGACTGCGCCGTCTTGGTGAAGTCGACACTCTGGTTCCCTTGGGATATACTCAGGCAAGACGGGCTGCATAAAGTTGTAATGTTGAACTATTTCAGGCGCGGTGGTGAGATTACCAGTCTTGACTCTGGCAAAACATTCCTGAAGGCAATCTGCAAACTCGCTCTCTGTCGTGATCGGCGTTCCCTGATTCGTAGTAGCAAGTGGTCATGTGTGGATTCGTGTGCGGTCGTCCACCAGACAAGGCCAAGTGATTTTTGCCTTGTCCCACTCACGCTCGGGGGGTCCAAAATCGCTCGCCTCCTGGATCTGCCCAGCAAGAGAGGTCAATCTGGCTCACCGCCCTCGGAAGTGTTCAGGTGCGCTCTCGTTCTGTAGAGTGGGGTCCTTGGACCACTTATGGAGCACCCTACTCACAGCACGCCTTGTGGTGTTGAGGTCCAGGGTACCCGGAGTGACGTAAGTTCGCCGGCGTCTCCTAGGAGCAGTTCCACAGGCCTCAACCGCGGCCTTGGCAACCCCATTGGTCACCTGACGGTGGTGTCCCGGGGGGAATGCCCCAAGCAATTGGTAGGAGGTCGCGTAGGGCTTGCTTGAAAATCTCAATACTATCACGGTCTGTGCAGCCCTCGGTGTTCAGAGGCTTGTGGTTGGAGATTCGGCGGGATTTCGAAGTTGCCCATTTGAAGGTGATCACAATTGGCACATGATCCTTCGAAGCCCCTCGCTCGGCCCAGGCCAGAAATAATGTCAGATGCGATGCCGTGATCAAACAAACATCTGCAAGCTAAATCATACTCGACCCGATGCTTCAGGTCACGCGTGGACTCCTATGTCCAGCGATCCACCTGACCGTGAAAGGTGCTGAGGATTGGCGTGCCATGTCTAAGGGCAAGATGCAGGGTGGGCGTCGACGCCCTCATCCTGGTCCTGAGCCCACCCCCTATCGCCGATCATATCGGAAGCGATGTTACCTAGTCGACCGTTGGCGTCAACGGAAAGCATATCAGCGCCCCTGCGTCCACCAAATCAGCAATGGACCCCCCCAAAAGCGGCCAACGCATCACGCTTCGCATCCGAGTGCGGCGCCTGGCTCACCAACATTGTGTCGCAAACAAGGCGCAGCCATCGCAACAGGAAGCCATCTGTGGTCTTTGGAGATCACACGCCAGTGTTGCTTATTGGAGAATAGAGGCTTGTCTATAAGATACCCGTAAGAACTCGTGGAATTCATCCAAAGTTCACGGCCTAGTTCGTGGGACACAGCTCCAAAGGAAATCATCCGAAAGGACAGTCACGAACGCACCTTGGGGTTTCTGGCTTCTTGGACCACCATGGATATCCCGTGCTGGTCAAGCTGAGTCTTGATGGCAGCATTCCTTGCAACACTGATTTTGCCTGTGACTCCCCAGCGTGGCGCTATGGCAGCACTGCTCACATTGTACGACGCAACTTTGGGTGAGATATAAGGAAGCCTCTTGGTGGTCTTGAGAAGAGGCCGGTGAACCATCCGATTCGTGGGATATGCAGGGGTGCTCGAAAGCAAGTTCTCTCGAACGTAGGGTAATTCTCCGTAGTGGTGGCTTTAGCTAGAGTCATCCATTCCCATTCTCGAGTTCGGCTGTACCCAGTGGCATTTACCCAGACAGGAGGAAGGAAACAAGGTCCCCACTCGTTAGCCCCCACCAGGCCCGCCAAATGATCCGAGAGGGTATTCCAGGGTTGTCCCTCATCACCCTTCACAGGAAGGGTAATGAGGGCGTTGGGGTGAACTGACAGCCAGTCCATGTGCTAAATGGAAAAGGATCTGGACCATATGGGCCAGCAGGTTGGCACCTTGCATTGCCGAACGACCGGGGGGCGCCTGGGCCGCGGGGCGGGTGGCGTCCGCGATGATTGCCACGATGGCCCACGCAACACCCGCAAACACGATGTCGGAGCTGGTGACAAGCGTGGAAGCGCTGTCGAGGAAGGGCGCTGCTCACGCCCTCAAGGCAGCACACCCTCGTTTTGAGCGGCCCCCTCACGAGAGACAGCCCAGGCCTCCGAGCTGTTGCCCCTTTATGGGGACGAACCCACGCATGAAACAAGATACCTCGTCCCAAGAAGAGCGCCTGAGAGGACGCCCATCCGAGGCCCACTGGGCCCCAAGGGGAAGTTCCGAGAGAAGCGCCAAGACTCAATCCATGGACGAAGCTCGAGAAAAATAGTCCAGCACGTCACGTCCGCGAACGAAAGGGCACCATAGATCGGAAGGGGGAGAAGTGGGAGTGGCAGCTGGCAAGTTTGCATGTGAATTTAAATTCTAATCTACCTCAGCAGACTCCCTATGACAAGGATTCTCCCCGCTTTCACCCACAGGGGGGGGGGGTGAACCTTGTACCGCTTCGTCCTCTTCGTGTGACACCAATGTAGAACAAGGGGTGTTCACAAAGCGAGCAAGTTCAAGACGCTTGAGTTGGGAGCGAGCATCTTCCCTCCACATCGTCCACCCGATCCGATCCTCTCCACCCCAGAGGCCAGTTTCAATGGTCGACCCCTATGGTTCCGCACTGGAGGACCTGCTATTCCTAGAACATTGTCCCCGCCGGAGGCTGGAAGAGCAGCCCTTTGGGCACAGTTAGCTTCACAATTGGTTGACGGTCTACTCCCCTGACCTTCAACTGGGATCTCAAGCACGACTTGAGGCGAGTGCGGCGGGGGGATGAGAGGAAATTGCTACCCTGGGTATCGGAATCGGCTCGGAGGGGTGCATTCGCCCAGCCGCGTAAGATCCGAATCTTAAATGCCTTGTTCTTTCCGCGCCTCCTTGCGCTGGGGGTGGCTCCTCAATTGTTGTTTCCCCCTCCAGGGCTGACAACAAGGCAGGTGGTGGCAGCAAGGAATCGTCTGGCTGCTGAGACGCTCTCATATATTGGACCTCCGAGGAGGAGAAGGAGGAGGAGAAGGAGGAAGAGGAGGAGAGGGCCAGATTGGAACTTCGAGGGGAGAGGCGGAGAGGCGAGGATTGGACCTTCGAGGGCAATCAGGAGGCTTCTAGATCCTTCGAGGACGAGGAGGAGGAGGAGGAGGAGGAGGAGGAGGAGGAGTGGGGAGGGCGCGCACAAGGAGCAGAGAGAGCGGGAAGGAGCAGGAGGAAGAAAAGAGGAGAAGGAGGGGGACCAGAGTGATCCAAGGATGCGTAAGCGATGCTGCAATACACCCTCCCGTCCCGAGCCCCTTCCTCACACGCCCCTACAAGACTTCCCTCTCACTGCAAGGAGCGACCCCCTTGAGATATCAGCACCGTTGGGCCTGCCGTTGTGGCGAAGGCCCCGCTTTGAAAAGGGATTGCCTTGCATCTTCCTGGCGCGTAGCCAGAAGCGCTAAAGTACTGATCATACAGTTAAACGAGGTGTCGAACGAGATCCCCCTTTTCGAAGTGGAACCGCCCCCCCCCATCCGTGTAACTGCTGCGCAGACTTACACGTGTGGTAATGGCTCCTCCTCCTCCTCCTCCTCCTCCTCCTCCTCTTCCCCCCCCCCCTCTTTCTCCTCCTCCTCCTCCTCTTCGAGGAGGAGGTCTCAAGCGACTGCTCCCTTTTGAAAGCGAGCCGCCCTGGATCCGCGCAGCGCTGCGTGCGTTGCAGGTTCGTTCCCTTTTTTACCACGAACGAAGTCTCGAGCGAGGGCAATGTTTGAAGCGGAACCGCCCCCCCACCCGTGTAACTGCTGCGCAGGCTTACGCGTGTGGTAATGAGGTTCGAGGAGGAGGAGGAAGAGGTGGAGGAGGAGGAGGAGGAGGAGGAGGAGGAGGACGAGGAGGAGCAGGAGGACGAGGAGGACGAGGAGGAGGAGGAGGAGGAGGAGGTTTCAAGCGACTGCTCCATTCTGAAAGCGAGCCGCCCTGGATCCGCGCAGCGCCGCGTGCGCTGAAGGTTCGTTCCCTTCTTTACCACGAACGGAGTCTCGAGCGAGGCCAATGTCTGAAGAGGAGCAGCGGGTCGGGCGAAAGGGGGGGGGGGGAAAGGGGGGGTACGAAATTTGCTGCATGCAGCTGGTTTCGGCCCCACCGAGGGGCCCATTCCTCGATACATAGCCGCCTCCGGCGCCGGGAGGCGCCGGGCGAGGACAATGTCTGAAGAGGAGCAGTCCTCCATCTTGTTAACGGGAACCCTAATTCAGGAACGAGGCCCCTTTTTTCCATAACTTAGATTTCGACCTCCCATCGAAGAAGTGAGGAAAACCTTGGGCAAGGTGTGGAACAATTAAAGAACACCGAGCCCCTCCCCAACGAAAAGGGTTCCTTTTTTCAGCGCCCCGACTGTACCAAGAACGAAGTCTCGAGCGAGGACAATGTTTGAAGAGGAGCAGTCCTCCATCTTGTTAAACGGCGCTGTAAGCACGATTGCGCGCGGTGTTGAGGCGAGAGCCACATTTTGAAAACGACCACTGTTCAACCTTGAAGTTGCTGCCATATTTTAAGACGAATGTTCGCGGGGCTGAGGTGGCGAAGTCCCCATGTCAAAGACCGCCCTCCAGTCGCGAGGCCAGTGCAAACGTCCAAATAGATTGCGCGGCGCTAAGGCGAGAGTCGCCCCATGTCGAAAACGACCAGTGCTCAATGCGTGAAGTGATTGCCACAGTTTAAGACGAACCTTCGCGGCGCTAAGGCGAGAGCCTCACTGAGAAAAGGAGCCGCCCTCCCTCCATGAAGCTAGTACAAACGTTTAGACGGAATGCGCGCGGCACTACAGCGATAACACAAATCAGGAAACGAAGTCATCCCTAAGAGTGCTGCAGATGCTTAAGACGAGCGCGCGCGGCGCAGCCATGCCCGTCAGATGTGACGCACATGCTTAAGTAAATCGCGCGCGGCGGTAAAGCAATAGCCACATTTTGAAAAGGAGAGCCGCGCTCCATCCGTGAAGCCTTCATCTGCGAAGGCCTGCACACATTTATGACGAGCGTGCGTGGCGCCGAGGCGACAACCCCATTTTGAACACGCTTCCACGACCCCCCCACCCCGCCGTTCACCCGTGAAACACTTGCAAAGTTTGATAACGAATGTGCGGGGCGCTCAGGCGAGAGCCACATTTTGAAAAGGGACCGCCCTCCGTCTGTGAAACGGCTGCCAAGTGTTCAGACGAATGCGCGCGGCGCCAAGGCGATAGACCTATTTTGAAAACGACCCCGCGCACACCAGTGAAGCTGTTGCAAACTTCAAGTTTCAGGACCACAAGTGCGAGGAGGTCCCAGCAGACGAAACGCTCTGCCTGCCCTACCGACACTTCTGGGGGCGCGACGGCGAGGAGTTATGCATTAGGGAGATCGATGGAGGAGAAGGAGGTTGGGAGGAGGAGGTTAGTCCTCGAACTTGCCGCCGCCGTTCCTCGCCCACGACGGCGCGGACGACGGCGACCGCAACGGGACGCCGAGCGCACCGAACCACGAACCTCGGCCTCCGCCAGAGGAGAGATGCGCGGCACCAGCACCACCACCACCACCAGGGTTGCCGCCTCCGGCGCGGAGGCTCCCTCCTCCCATCATAACCCTTGCTCCTCCTCCTAGCTCTTCTTCCTCCTCCTCCTCGGCCTCCTCCTCCGCCTCCTCATCCTCCTCCTCCGCCTCCTCCTCCGCCTGCTCCGCCTCCTCCCCCTCCTCCTCCTCCTCCTCTCCCTCCTCCTCCTCCTCCTCCGCCTCCTCCTCCTCTTCCTCTTCCTTCTCCTCCTCCTCCGCCTCCTCCTCCTCCTCCTCCTCCTCCTCCTCCTCCTCCTCCTGCTCCTCCTCCCTCCTCATCCTCCTCTTCCTTGCCCTCGTGCCACGACGGGGGGCAGGAGGAGCGTGCCGCCACGCAAGTCCATCGATGCCGGAGGGGGAGGGCACCAGCAGGAGGAGGAGGAGGAGGAGGACAGGAAGGGAGAAGGACGAGGGGGACAGGAGGGAGAAGGAGGAGGAGGAGGAGGGCAGCAGCAGGAGGAGGAGGAGGACAGGAAGGGAGAAGGACGAGGGGGAAGGAAGAGAGGAGGGAAGTTCAGCACGGCGCGTTGCCAGGGTGGAAAGGGAAAGGGCAGCTCATGACCATCGCTTCGGATGCGATCGGTGGTTTTCTCCTTTGATGTCCAGTCTCTCGTGGGTACGCCTGCGTTCAGTCATCGTTTCGTAGTGCTCCGAGGAGGAGGACGGGGGGGGAGAAGGGCAGAGTACGATTCAGACGAGGGAGGAGGAGAGGGACACCTCCGAGGACTGGTCGACGCACCTGGGCACCGTCGTCCCCCTTGTCCGCTGGCACCTCTTGCTGATCATAATCTTGATCCCCCTAGCCCTCCTCTTAGCCCTCTTCCTTCTTCTCCCCCTATTTGTCCCCCTCCTCCTCATCCTCCTTCTCCTCCTCCTCACCACCACCACCACCATTACCATCACCATCACCATAACCATCATCATCCTTATCATCATCATCAGCAGCATCATCATCATCATCATCATCATCATCCTCATCATCATCCTCATTCTCATCATCATCATCATCATCATCATCATCATCATCATCATCATCATCATCATCAGCATCAGCATCATCATCGGGAGCAGCAGCATCAGCAGCAGCAGCAGCATCAGCATCAGCATCATCATCATCAGCATCATCATCATAGAACTCATCAGCATCATCATCATCATCACCATCATCATCATGCTCCCTGTTCCCCCCTCCGCATCCTCCTCCGCCTCTGTCTGCTCATCGCCATATTCCTCCTAGTGATGTTCCTCCGCCTTCGCCCCCTCCTCATACCCACCCTGATCGGCATCCTCATCATCAGTATCATTAACATCATCATCATCAGCAGCATCATCGTCATCATCATCATAATCCTAATCATTACCATCACCATTATCAGAATGAGCATCCGCATCCTCATCATCACCATCATCATCCTCATCAGCATCATCATCATCGTCATCATCATCGGCATCATCAGCGGCATCATCGTCACGATCGTCATCATCAGCATCATCACAACCATAATCACAATCAACAGCGGCATCATCATCATCATCACCATCATCATACTTATCATCATTGGCAGCAGCATCAGTAGCATCACCATCATCATGCGCATCATCTGTATCACCACAAACATCATCATCGTCATCATCATCACCATCATCACCGCCGTCGCAATCGCTTTCGCCATCATCAGCATCACCATCACCATCATCCTCATCATCATCGCCATCGTCATCATCATCACCAGCAGCAGCAGCATCCTCATCAACATCGACATCATCATGATCATCAGCATCGTCATCGTCGTCATCATCATCGTCATTGGCATCGTCATCCTCATCTTCATCATTGACAGCAACTGCATCAACATCAGCACCAGCCTCATCAGCAGCAGCCCCACTATCGTCATCAGGTTAATCTCCATCTTCATCATCTGCATCATCAGCAGCATCAGCATCAGCATCAGCATCATCAGCATCGTCACCATCGCCCCTCCCTCATATTCCTCCTCCTTCTCCTCCTCCGCCTCCTCCTCCCATCTTCCTCACCTGTTCCATCCTCTTCCTCCCCCTCCTCCTCCCATCTTCCTCACCTCTTCCTCACCTCCTTCTCTTCCTCCGCCTCCTCCTCCCCTCTTCCTCACCTCTTCCTTCCCCAGGCGCCGGCCTCTGCCTTGGCGTGCGCGGCGAGGGCCGCAAGGGCAGCTTGGCCATGGTGGGCTGCGATTCCTCCTCGCTGGTGGACACCACGAGGCGGTCCGAGGGAGGAAGGAGGGGGAGGAAGAGGAGGAGGAGGAGGAGGAGGAAGGAGGAGGAGGAGAACGAGGACGAGGAGGGGGGAAAGGAAGAGCTGGAGGAGGAGGAGGAGGACCAGTGTAAACCCAAGACCCATCAACGATTTTGCAATGAACCCTCCTGCCAAGTTCCATGTTCACAGGCCCCTACAAGAGTTTGTCCTCGCTTAGGGAAGTGCCCCGCTGGAAGACAATCGACTGAGAATCCTGAATTGTGCCAAAGCGCCATCTCTGGGACTGCACCGCCGCGAATCAACGTTCCTGTCGCATCCTGACGATCCTTAATCGTACAAGAAGTCCGTTCCTAGGACTGCAACCCCGCGAACCACGTGACGTCCTACATCATGACCACACCATGTTTGGGACGTCAGCCATAAGAACCATTGAAGCTGTTGTGGCCTCTTGAGACGAATGTGCGTGACTCCAATGCGAGAGCCACATTTTAAAGAGGAGCCGCCCTCCACTCGTGAAGCCATTGCCAATGTGTATGGCGGGTGTACTGGGCGCTGGGGCGAGAGCCGCATTTTGAGAAGGAGCCACCCTCCATCCGTAAAGCTCCTGCAACATTTCAGGATATACGTGTGCGGCGCTCAGGCGTGAGCCACATTTTAAGAAGGAGCCGCCCTCCATCCACGAAGCGGTTGAAAACATGTAAGACGAATGTGCGCGGCGCTGAGGCGAGAGCCACATTTTGAAAACGGACCGCCCTCCATCCGTGAACTTTGCTAGCTTCAAGGCGAATGTGTGCGGCGCTCAGGCGAGAGCCCCATTTTGGAAACACAGGCCGCCCTCCATCCGAGAGGCTGTTGCAAACTTTAAGACGAATGTGCGCGGCGCTAATGTGAGAGCCACGTTTTGAAAATGGCCCGCCCGCACGCCATTCGCAAAATTGTTGCAAACCGTACGACGAATGTGCGAAGCGCCTAGGCGAGAGCCACATTTTGAAAACGGCCCGCCCTCCATCCGTGAAGCGAGTGGAGAATTTTAGCACGAATGCGCGCGGCGCTAAGGCGAGAACCACATCTTGAAAACGGCCCGCCCTTCATTTGCGCGTGGAGAATTTTAGCACGAATGTGCGCGGTGCTAAGACGAGAACCACATCTCGAAAACGGCCCGCCTTCCACCCTTGAAACTGTTACAAATTTCAAGCTTCAGGATAATCAACGGTCAGGAAGGAAGTCTCCGGCAAAACGGCCGGCCCGTTACTGACACGTCTCGTGGCGCGACAGGGAGGAGTCATCAAA